AGAATTTAAATGTAATCGAGTAAGGCAAACGTTTAGGTTAAGAGAATTGCTTCTAATTAGCAGTTTTGAGGCACCTAACTGATTCACTTTCAGGTTTCGCCTTCTAAACAACATTTACTTTCTTGAGATTTGGAGTTTTGAACCTCCATTTGCTCTTCCCGCCTTGTCTATTTCCTTGTTTCAAATGCAAAACAAATCAGTGAAAAGTGCCGCTGCTTAATTGTTTCAAAACTATATTTTTGGCATTTGGGGAAAATGGTTGCTCCGACGTCGTTATAAGCCCCGCAATTCCTGGACCGGGTCCCACTCCAGTCCGCTTCCGAATCCCAACCGGATAAGATCCAGTAATGCAAGATTGAATTAGGCCCATGTTATCATGCTCAAGCTAAGTTCATTTTTTCGTAAAGTGTTTTTTAGAAAATTTAGGAATTTTTTTATTTTTTCTACTTCAAGTGATTTTTTTAAAAAAATTATTTTAATATAATGATATAAAAAAAAATTTAAAAATTTAAAAAATTATTTTAATATATTTTTAAATAAAAAATATTTTAAAAAACAATAACTATTACAAACAATAACTATTACAATTTCAAAGAAGCTCTTAATCATCTATGCATAATTTTTTAAAAAAATTTATTATTTTAAATTGTTTTAATATGTTGATATTATAATTAAATTTCAAAATATAAAATTATGTTAATATAATTTCAAAAAATATATATTTTAAAACCCAACTATCACTGTAATAACAAACAAACGATATCATAATCAACTGCCCACATTAAATGAATTTCCATTGAAGTTAACGTGGCATTTATAGCGCAACAAACTTCTTCAAGTTTCCACCATAAAAAAAAAAACCACTCTTCAAGTTGTTCCTGAATCTAAATTCGTAGCCATTATTATTACTTTCTCTCTATCTTATTCTCCATGGCTAATGACGCAGCTCTAAGGACCTCATTGGTGTGGTTGGCTGTGGTAATGGTGGTAGTAGGGATATGGACGCTTTCTTTCAAGAAAGTGATTGTAACTTATGTATTGGGTGTGCTCGGGATTGCTGGAGTGCTTCTACCTGATCGGGATTATTTTGATCGAGATTACTCCAGGTGGTTTTCTCTTGTTAGTGAACAAGATAAGCTGGCTCTTGCTCTAAGATCTGGCCTCAGGTTGGCTAGTTAATTTTTTGGTTAATTTCTTAGCTGATTTATTCATTAGTTCTCTTAACTTCTTCTTCAAGGTCAAATTATTGTTGTGTTTGGATTTTTTAGTGTTGAAAAAATTGTTACTAATTAGCGTCCCTGAATGTTGGTAGTAATTGAAAAGGACATTGATGCATGTTTTTATCTTCCTGTCTATGAAGCCAAATCTTGGTCACTTGAATATGGTTGAACAATCCATGTATCATGATGGCTTGGACAATGGCTACAAAGATGGCGTTAGGGCTTGCATAATACACCGGCTCGGGATAAGGCGTTGTTGCACAGTTGAAAAAATGACAACAAAAAAAGAAAGAGTTTTTGTTGAATGATATTTGTAATGGGATTTAATTTCTGTGCAGGCTTTGGATTTCTCCTCTCAGATTGGTTGTTTACACCGCCGTTTATGGTTATGCTTTGTATAGGTGGTGGCTGTTCATATCAGAGTGAAGGGCCTTCGATAAGCTCACACAAGGGGTTTGAGGGCTAGTTTCAAATGAAAATTTGTACAGTCGAGAATTTTGTGTTTTGCAGAATCGATCTACATATGATCATGTGTTTTTGGCTGCTGAAGTTCATCATTGATCATAGGTAATTCAGGAATTCATTCCTCTATTGCAGATTATTTGTCACTATGGAATTTGATAGTGAGCATATATCGTTGACCAAAGTAATGTAGCTCTCTTGACCAAGGCCCTGAAACCCTCGTTGTAACTTCAGTCGTAACTGTAACAGGAGAGCTTTGGGGCCTGTAAATGAGCACATGTAGCAGGCAGATTATTTTTTGTTTAGCTTGTTTTTGGTTTTTGTTTAATTTGACTTTGAGTTTTTTTGTTATTTTAGTTTAAGTTTGGTTTAATTTTTTTAATTTTGGATTTATAAAATCAGAATTAAACTAAACTCATTAAATTTTGAAAAATTTTAATTAATTTTTTTAATGTTTAGTTTTTTCAGTTTTTTTTTTTAATTTTCTTAATTTAAGCAGTTTTTAATTTTTTTTTTACTCACCTGTGGTATCTTATATTTCAATTTTTTCTTTCATGCTGATAAGACATTATATGCTGAGGTGATTGGATTTAAATTAACTTTTGTTGGTAAAAATACACTAATAAAGCAAGAACATGTAAAGATGTGGTCCCCATGGGATAAGAAACCCATCATGCTCTTCTGAGAGTTATTGATAATCAGTGCTTTGTCTGTAAAGTAAAATGGGCATTAATCAAATATTATATGCAATTTAAAAACACTAAAAAGCAAAGAGATATATGGATGAAAATTATATGCTCCTACCGGTTATAAAAGAAAACTATTTTGCTAAAAGTCGGCATAATTTTATAATTTTAAGAAGTATCTTCTAATTAATTTTTGTACACCAAAGTAGGTTAAATAGGTCGTCTACACTTCAATTTGTGCATTTACAAAAACTATTTTTCTTATAGGAGCCCTTCTTCTGACTTTCCATTGGCTCTTACAAATTTGAAATTTGAAATTTGAAAAGAAAACTATTCAGCTAAAATGTAGGCCAGAGAGGGAGATAGTTACGTGGTATAAGTCAGTTGTAAGACATTATTTAATTCTATTTTGTATTTGAAATTGTTTGTATTCAAATGCATTTTAAAAATACACAAGACTTGATAAAATATCAAATTAATATATTTTCCTATAATTTTAATATATTAATATTACAAAAAAAATATAAGAATCTTTTTTCAAGGGCTAATGTGCAATACTTACATATAATTCTATTCTTTTTCGATGAATACAAATGTGCAATATTATTGCTTGCTTTAAGGTTTTTTTTAGCACAGTTAAAAGAAATTAGAAAAATAACATGATGAAGAAAATGTTTGAAGATATAACACAATTTCACAAGTTGTAAATAATATCTTTGACTTCTATATCGTAGTTTTTACATGCGACTCTTATTTCACAATTGTTATCTGCAACGCGTAAGTTGTAGATGACTTATATGACTTTATTTGAAATTAATACCTAAAGCTTCTTTCTCATTCTTTCTTCCTCTTTATATCTTGCGAGAGTAACCCATCCCTTCCTTCTTCTACTCATCGTTAGTAACCATACTCTCTCTCTCTCTTCCCACCATTAAATGCACCTAAAACACCACGAGATCACCCATCTCTCTCTAGCTCCAGATCGTCGCCTCCTCTCTCTTTTTACTGCACTTTATCCAAATTTCAACCAAAACAGCCACTATTAGTCACCATCTTCACCCACATTCTATATTTAAAGGTATATTGAACATTTCTTCACAATCAATTTGATGTAATTTATGATAATGTGTGTTAATTTGTTTTCATAGAATGTTAGGGTTTTGAATTAAGAAATAGGTTAAATAGATATAATTTAAGTTGATAGTTAGGTTATTTTATAAAATAATCAATGATGATTTGGATTGTTGTTTATTGTGAATTAACAAAATTATTTTGTTGGAGTTGGTGTTGATTTAGGTTAAATTAATTTGGAATATACCAAATTACATATAAAATAAAAAAATTGGCTATGAAATACATGAATTTGATTAATAATTTTGATATGGTAATGAAATTTGATGAATACAGGTGTTCGTTGATTAATTTGATGAATTTAGGTTTTAGCCGATTATGCTACTATTATTGGTTTATAGATAAATTATATACTTTGATTAACCCCTAGATGTAAAAAAAATTAGAATTGTGTTTTGTTATTTTGTTTGATAAAATGTCCGGTAATTTAGGAATATTATGCTTTCATAGTGGTATCATTGTCAATTTTGACAATGATATCACTTATAATGGAGAAAGCCACGAGTTCCTAGTTGTTTTATTAGATATGTCACTTCATAAGTTATCTAGAATTTTATGTGATTGACTTCACTGAAATATATTTGAATAAAAAGTCGAAACTATTTGGAGGATGTTACAAATAAAGGTTAGTTAAGTTTATTATATTGGTGTATCAATTTATAGTGATGAAAATGTGAATTTAATGTTTAGATTTGCGAGGATTGATAAAATTAATATGCTTGAGCTTTACTTGAATTTTAGATCTAAACAAGAAAAATCTTCTAGTATGAAATTAACCTTAATTCCAAGTAACTCTTAGAGAACCACAAAGACATCACGAGGAGCTGATTTATCTAGGTTAGGTGGTAATGCAAGTAGACAAATATCGAAGTGGGAAATTGTTAATATAGAATCTTAGTTGGTTATGACATTTATTTCATTTTGATATAGAGAATCCAAACCAAGCAACGATAAAAATGATCCTCATATTGATAAAATTGATATTAAGGAGGAAAACAGGGAAGCATATGATGTTATTAGTTGAGCCTGTTAATCAACACATAACTTTTATTATAAAGAATCAATACCATATAAAGAATTCATTACAGTATAAGGTCTATCATTCAATTAAAATTTATGTTTAATTGTAATATGTTTAGGAATTAGTTTATAAATGATACTTGTATGAAGGATATTATCAAAAGTCTAATTTATAAAAAACTTTAAATTGAAAGAGCTATATATATGTAAAAACCCTCTTTGTTTTGCAATGTTATCATCAAATTAACTCAGATCTCATTGCTAAGGTGATGTTGATAATTATGAAAAGAGATATAAGTATTAGTGTTGCAACACTTCAAGGTACTGTAGAAAAGAATTATAGGCATGAAATCTCTTACTGGAAAGCATGAATGACTAAACAAAAAAATATTGGAGCAGTTAATGGTTGCACACAAAATGTCATTTCAAAACTTGTCTAAAATGTTGGTGGTCATCAAAGATTTAAATCCATGAGCAATTATCACTTAGAATTATAAAATGGTTGATAACATTAAGACAACATTTAGGAGAACATTTTAGACATTTGGTGCTTCAATTGATAGATTTTAATATCATCATCCTCTAATTAGTATTGGAGGTACTCACCTTTATTTATTATAAGTACAAAGCAAAGTTGTTGATTATCATTACTTATAATGTGAATAATAAAGTTTATCTGTTATGTTTTACTATTATCAAAAAAGAGATAAACAATAATTGAAATTGAATTTTAGATTTGCTTTGTTAATATGTGACTGATGATTGTATTGTGTTATGTATTATATTAGATGGACATTTGGAGTAACATATTATTTATGTTTGAAAGTTTTATTTTTACTAGTATTGTTAGCAATGCAGTACCGTTGTTTTTTCTAACACTACTTGAAAATTTTTGGGTCATTTCTAATTATATATGGGGGATTATGTTTGTATATCTATACTGGAAATTATGTAAAACATGTGTAAAAAAGAGAAAATAAATTTTTGAAGTATGATTATTTAAAATTATTTGATTGTTAGAATTAATAATATTTTAAATACAAACTTATAATTGTCAATATTAATTAATATAGATCCGGTGATTATTAGATATATTATAAAAAATATAAATAAATATATAGTTATTTAATTTTAATAAAATGTTATGTTAATCGTTAGTTTATTTTTGTTATTTATAATTGAAAATATTATATGATGTTTATATAAATTATATTTTTATGCTTAAAAATTAGTTATTTGAATTGTGTAAATTATGAGTTTTTTGGACAAGAAGTTAATGGTAGAAAAAACTTTTCTAAAGTGAATCTCTCAGTTAAGTCATGGATAATATTTATGAATTAAGTGTTATAATTAGTGTTTGTGACTCTCAAGTTACAAATAAAACAATATGATAATCGAGTTATAAATCTTGTCTTATTAGTTTAAATATTTTAATATTTTAAATATTTTTTATACTGTTTTACCTAAAATAATAATTATTGTGTTAAGGTTTTTTTTTTTTAAAAAAAAAAACCCGCACTGCTTGACTGCGTTGAGACATAATTACACGCATGCAAACAAAACTTGCATACGGCCCAAAATGAGCTAATAACCAGGCATTTAGATCACCCTAGCTAGTCCTTAACTTAGCGAGGCCGTTTTCGACTTTTGGAAAAGAAAAGGAAGAATCTCTTCCCTTCTTCCAACAACACAACTGACCAAATCTTCTCTCTGCTCTGTTGCTGGCTTGCTGCTATTGTTGAGACTTGAGAGGCAGGGCGATTTCAAACATGAGGCTATTTACTCACAACATGCTATCCTCCAATATCAAGGGAGTTGCGAACGGCTTCCCTCTACGAATCGAGGTAGATCAAGTGGTCGAAAAGCAAGTGGACTTCCATCCGGATTTCCTCAGAAACATGTTCCCAAAGCTCGAGTGGAAAGCCCTTGTCGATGCCGCACGAACCATGGGCTACACCGAGCTTCCTGAGGAGGCCGATTCGTCGATGCTGGAGTCTGAGGAATTTTTAAGGAAGTTGCACCACGCGCTTTTGGAGCTTCACCTCGAAGAAGGGGCTTTGGTTTGTCCTGAGACTGGGAGAAAGTTTCCGGTCAATAAAGGGATTCCTAATATGCTTCTCCACGAAGATGAGGTTTGAGGTGCCTGTTTGTTTTCTCAGATTAGGGTTTTCGTTTGGGGGATTTGGGGTTTTTCTTTTTTGAGTATTTTGAGTTGGTGAAATGTGTGGAAAGAAAATAAAATAAAATAAAAAGCTTTTGCTTGAATGATTATTGTTTGTGTATTATCATCAATATGATATAAATTGAATCTGAGAGATGAATTTCTGCTCGTCACTGTCATGGAACCAAATGTCTTAAAACCAAAAAGAGGCTAAACGTAATGATTTGCATTAAGCAGTATTAAAATGCTATCATTAATTGTTCACATGACATTCTAGTCTTTTACACTG